CTGCTTTGATATCTATATTTGGTTCCATATCACCATCATCAACTCTTTCAATCACTTTAACTTCAGCTTGATAGCACCTGGTTAGTTCAACCTCTCTTTAACACTTACTGTAATTTGGCATTTGTTGTTTCCAAACGTAATTTTATCAAAATTAATTACAAACTTCCTCTGTAGTAAGTAGTCCAACCCTAATATGCATTGGTCTTAAATGTCAGCCAATTATACTTTCTGTCTGTTCTTCATGCCCATGAGCTCAATAGTTACCCAAACTGGTCCCCACAACCTTGCAGAATGTCCTGTCACGCCACAGAGCTTCTGTACAGCTTCTGGTACTCCTTTGTGATCCAGCACCTTGATACTCACAAGGGTTTGCTGGGATGCAGAATCTATGACAAAGTTGCACCTTTGGCCATCCAGCTTTCCTGTCACGTAGACACTATGTGTGCTTGGCATTTTACACCTAGCTGTTTGGACTTTCACCATGATGGTTGGTGGGTGTATCACACCAACCACTACTGGTTCCCCCGAAGCTGACTTATTGGTAGTATTCTTCTTACACTGGCTCCTCCTATGTTCTTGCTCTCCACAGTTCCAACAACCTTTCTGGGTAGCAGCCTTTCCTGCCGTGACATCTTCCCTGTGCTGAAGCTTCCAGCATTGAGCTCTCTTGTGCCCAGGTTTATTACAGTGCCAGCAAAGTCCCTCAAACTTCTTTGAAAGCTGACCTTTTCTGGCCTTGAATCCTGATGACTGTATCAATCTTGGTACCTCTGTGCTGGACTTAACATAGGATTCAAATTCGAGAGCTCTGGCCATTGCATCTTGTATAGTAGAAGGGTGTGCTTGCTTCACTTGTATCTTCAGTTGTGGACTGTCCAAGGCATCTACAAACTGATCCCTCAGCAACAACTTGAGGAGATCAGGTGATGCAGTTGGGTAGGCCTTGTGTGCCATACTTTCCAAGTCCTGTGCCAGCTCTTGCAGGCTCTCCCCTTTAGCACGGACTCTGGTCCTAAACCTAGCCCTGTAGACTTCGGACTGATTTTTAGTTCCATACCTGAGTTCTAAAGCCGCTACCAGTGCTCTATAGTTCTGCCTGTTGCCTGCTGACAACTGTCCAAGTATTTCCAGTGGTTGTCCCTTCAGGCTTGTTGCCAGATATACTGCTTTCTGCTCCTCTGTCCATCCATTTATTTTGCCAGGAGCTCAAATTGTGCTCTATAAGCTTCCCACGGTGCCTACCCGTCGAATTCCTGTGGCTTCCTTCGTACTTGATCACACCTATTGCTGAAATTCATATCTGGGAATTGACTTCTAACAGAACTAAAGATGTCTGCATTAGGGTTTAGCTGCGGGGTCTGGAAGGGGCTTGCCATTGTCTGGGGCCGATTAAATCGATGGTTAATGTATCCTCCATGTGTAAATCATCCTTTAATACATTTAATTCGCTTTGAAATTTACTAACGTTTTCCATTTGTGTACTCTGGCTTTCTCTCAATTGTTGGAGACTTTCTTCTCGTTTATTTTCTTTCTCCTCCAACCACTGCTGTAGTCTCTCCTCTTGTTTATTTTCTTTCTCCTCCAACCACTGTCGTAGTCTCTCTTCTTGTTTCTTTCTTTTTCCTCCAACAACTGCTGTAATCTCTCTTGTTTATTTTGCTGTTCGAGTTGCCACTGTTGCAAGATTTCTTGCCTCTGCTGTAATCCCTCTTCTTGTTTCTTTTCTCGTTCTTCTTGTTACTTTTGCTGTTCTTGTATTGCTGCCATCAAATCTGCTAAGATGTAGTTTGATTTGCCACCTCTCGTTTCCATCTTTTTCTTCTTCTTTTTTTATTTTCCATCCCACTCTCTGACACCAATTTGTTACGCCTCCGGTCGTTTGTAAATTTTCCCTGAAAATTTCTTCTGAAAAACTTCAGCGATACAAGTCCTTTCTTAAATAAAAGTAGGGTGTTCTTTCTCAATACAACTTTGCAATACACTTAATTTCCACAGTCACTTTAACTTAAACACACGCTATAATTCACAACGAACGATTCATGCACTTTACTTACTACCGCGCTTGACTCAATTGTCCGTCTCTATCTCTGCCTGTCTGCAATTCAATTATCTATCTATCTATGCCGTCACTTCTCGTCGGTCTTATATATACGAAATAGAGGGTGTCTGGTAAACACTCGAGCCTTCACAAACGTTCTAGATACTCATTACGTGTTACCAGCATCATGTGAATTCCGCTGTTGTAACAGTTCCATAAAATTAAGAGACTTTTTTGAATTTTAATTTTGTGTTTGTAGTGTTTGTAAATTCTGTACATTTAATTAAGTTATTGTTAATTATCTATTGATTTAATTTAAGTGGCTATTGTTCAGGACGAACAATACCGAGGAAGGGGCAGTGTTACGACAGCGAAAGTCACGTGACGTTAGTAGCACGTGATGAGTATCTAGAAGACTCACGAAGAGACGAGATGTACGCTTTTATAGTATATAAGCCAGAAATAAAGTAACGGCGTTAATATAGTTGCAGATAGAGAGAATGAAGATATAGAAGATATAAACTCACTTAAATTTACTTCCTCTGCAACAAAGGCCAACCACCCTGTTAGAAAAATAAAACTGTCTTAGCTGAAAATGATTCCTACCTTGCCAAAACTTATATTTGTGTCCCCTAGTCCTACTATTCTCATTGTTAAATATAAAAGCGCGAGAATGAACACAATATTCCAAATGTGGCCTAATCAGTGACCTGTACAATGAAGGTATAACCTCTTTAGACTTGTATTCAATATTTCTGTAGATGCAACCTAAATTACTATTTGCCCTAACACTAGCAACAGCACACTGCTCGGATGGCTTTAGAGACTGATCGACTATTGCACCAAGATCGCTTTCTTTCATAACACTATTTTACTTATAATTCAAATTATGATAACCCACTTGCAT